AGTTGAGTTCAAGCTGGGCTTTTGCCTTTCTACTTTTCTCCCTGCGCATCGTAACAACTTCTTTGTACTCTCCCCGACTTTCCCGTCCCTTCTTCCACGGGAGGTAGATTCTCTTTTTCTCCTGGAGCCTCAGAAAAGCTCCCTGTTCATCCATGCTGGTCTTCTTCCCCACCTGCTCATTTTGTGGCTGAAGGGGATAGTTAGCTCCTGCGCCTTTAAGACTTCCTTCTTGAAGAGTGACCAGCCTTCCTGGACCCCTTTACGCTCCAAGACTGAATCCCAAGGGACCCTCCCTACTAGTCTCTTGAACAATTCAAAGTCCGCCCTCCAGAAGTCCAAGGTAGTAGTTTTGCTATGCCCTCTCCTGGCTCCATCAAGTATTGTCATGTTCACTCTGTTGAAGACAGCCCACAACCTCCACATCACCCACCAGACTTTCTCTGTTTGTGAACGGCAGGTCTAGCGGGGTGCCTCCCCTGGTTGGCTATCTCACCAGCTGCAGAAGGAAGTTAACTTCCATACACTCTAGAAACCTAGACTGTTTCTTCTGCGCTGTGTTGTATTCCCAGCATACATCAAGGAAGTTGAAGTCTCCCATGAGGATGAGGACAAGGACTGGCGATTGCGCAACTTCTGCCAGCTGCTCATAGAACACCTCATCTGCCAGCTCCTGGGCAGGGATCCATTTTCCCCTTTGAGACAGGTGAGACCCATCAACAGACCTCAGGCCTGATATGTGTAAACCACCTGTCGTGGTTTTATGATGTTTGGTTATCAGTATTCCACACCTTAACATCATGTAGTACGCTGAGAGTTAAAGGGTTAATGCTCCAGGTCTGGGTACCTGTCCCAGAGGAGAACTACTACTACAATCTCCAGAGGACTGTTCCATGTTCTGTTATTTCCACTTGGGGAAAAGATAAAAGTCCTTCATAGGTCACCTGATGGCTCTTTTTTCAATCGCCTGGCTCATTTCTGTTGTGGGTGCCATCTCATCACAGCATTAGAGTAAGGCCTTCAGTTTTCAGATACTCTCATTGATTTATTAGCAATTCTGATTATATTATACTGTATTATAGTGTGTTATCTTGCATTTCAATATCTTATTTAGTAAACTTGTTTCTCTTCATATCGTTGTTGCTGTTTTATTTTTAGGTCCCTCTCTCTATCCTTTTCCCGGGGTGCAGGTCTGTTGGTCCCCCCCATCCTGCTAGTCACGGAACTGGGCCGAACCTGCCTGTAAACCGTTGACAACTGCCCCATTATCAAAGAACCTAGAATTCTTGCATTTGCACCAGTCTCTCAGCCATGTCTTTATAAGAAGGGTTTTCCTGTTCCTCTCACTGTCCTTCCCTGCCACTGAAGAAATAGAGGAAAATACTACCTGTATGCCTGCTCTATCAACTAATTGCTCCAGTTCCCCGAAATCATTTTTGGTAATCCTTAGGCTTCTGTCAGTGACCTCATCACTGCCAGCCTGGACTATCATAGAATCACCAAGGCTGGAAAAGACCTCAAAGCTCATCCAGTCCAGCCGTTCACCTATTCCCAATAGCTCCCACTAAACCATGTCCCTCAACACAACATCCAGCCTTTCCTTGAACACCCCCAGGGTCAGTGACTCCACCACCTCCCTGGGCAGTCCATTCCAGTGCCTGACCACCCTTTCTGAAAAGTAATACTTCCTAATGTCCAGCCTGAATCTCCCCTGCTGTAGCTTGAAACCATTCCCTCCGATCCTATCACTAATGACACGAGAGAAGAGGCTGACTCCCAGCTCACTACAACCTGCCTTCAGGAAGTTATAGAGAGCAATGAGGTCTCCCCTGAGCCTCCTCTTCTCCAGGCTGAACATTCCCAGCTCCTTCAGCCTCTCCTCACCAGCTTTGTTGCCCTCCTTTGAACACGTTCCAGGGCCTCAATGTCTTTCTTGCAGTGAGGGGCCCAAAACTGAACACAATACTCAAGGTGTGGCTTCACCAGAGCTGAGTATAGGGGGACAATCACTGCCCTGTTCCTGCTGGCAACACTGTTCCTGATGCAAGCCAGGATGCCATTGGCCTTCTTGGCCACCTGGGCTCACTGTTGGCTCATGTTCAGCTAAGCATCAATCAATACCCCCAGGTCCATTTCCTCTACGCAGTCCTCTGGCCACACCACCCCAAGCTTCTAGCGTTGCCTGGGGTTGTTGTAGCCGAAGTGCAGGACCCAGTACTTGGCCTTGTTGAAACTCATTCCATTGGCTTCAGCCCAGCTCTCCAGCCTGTCCAGATCCCTCTGTATGGCCTCGCTACCCCCAGGCAGATCCACATTTCCAGCCAATTTGGTGTCATCTGCGAATTTACTGAGGGTGCACTTGATGCCCTTATCCAGGTCATCAATAAAGATATTGAAGAGGACAGGCCCCAGCACCGACCCCTGGGGAACACCACTCACAACCTGTCGCCAGCTGGATTTAACTCCGTTCACCACCACTCTCTGTGCCCGGCCCTCCAGCCAGCTCCTTACCCAGCCAAGAGTGTACCCATCCAAGCCTTGGGCTGCCAGCTTCTGCAGGAGAATACTGTGGGAGACAGTGTCAAAGGCTTTGCTGAAGTCTAGGTAGACCACATCAATAGCCTTTCCCTCATCCACCAGATGGGTCACTAGATCATTGAAGGAGATCAGGTTGGTCAAACAGGACCTGCCCTTCATGAACCCATACTGGCTAGGCCTGATCCCCCGGTCATCCCGCACATGCCGCATGATCTCCCTTAAGACAATCTGCTCCATAACCTTCCCTGGCACCGAGGTCAGGCTAACAGGCCTGTAGTTCCCCGGTTCCTCCTTACGACCTTTCTTGTAAATGGGAGTCACCTCCAGTCATCTGGGACCTCACCGGTCAACAAGGAGCGTTGACAGATGATGGAAAGCGGCTCGGCTATCACCTCCACCAGTTCCCTCAGCACTCTTGGGTGGATCTCATCTGGCCCCATCGACTTGTGGCAGTCCAGTTGGAGCAGTAGGTCTCTGACTGTTTCTTCCAGAATCACAGGGGGGTTAGTGTGCTCCCCAGCCGAGATTACCAGGTCAGAGAGAGGAGTATCCTGAGGATAACTGGTGTGACTTTTAAAGACAGACGTAAAGAAGGCATTCAGAACCTCTGCCTTTTCCTTATCCTCAGTGGTCACATTCCCAGCCTCATCCAGCAAAGAGTGGATATTCTCCTTTGTCCTTCTCTTACTGTTAATGTATTTATAAAAGAGTTTCTTATTCCTTTTCACCCCAGCGGCTAGGTTAAATTCAAGCTGGGCTTTTGCCTTTTGCCTTTCTGATTTCACCTCTACACATCCTAACGACTTCCTTGTATTCATTCTTAGTGGCCTGTCCCTCTTTCCACAGGCGGTAGATTCTCTTTTTCTCCCGGAGCCTCAAGAATAGCTCCCTATTCATCCATGCCGGTCTTCTTCCCCACCGGCTCATTTTGCAGCTAAGGGGGACTGCCTGCTCCTGCACCCTTAAGACTTCCTTCTTGAAGAGCAACCAGCTCTCTTGGACCCCTTTACTCGCTAAGACTGAATGCCAGAGGACTCCCCCTATTAGTCCCTTGAACAATTCAAAGTCTGCCCTCCTGAAGTCCAAGGTAGCAATTTTACTATTCCCCCTCCAGGCTCCACCATGAATCGAGAAATCTATCATTTCATGGTCACTCTGTCCAAGACAGCCTCCAACCTCCACATCTCCCACCAGACCTTCCCTGTTTGTGAACAGCAGGTCTAGTGGGGCAGTTCCTCTCCTGGGCTCTCTAACCAGCTGTATCAGGAAGTTGTCCTCTATGCATTCCAGAAACCTCCTAGACTGCTTCTTCTGTGCTGTGCTGTACTCCCAGCATATGTCAGGGAAGTTAAAGTCCCCCATGAGGACAAGGGCTGGCGACTGTGCAGCTTGTGCCAGCTGCTTATAGAATACCTTGTCTGTCTCTTCATCCTGGTTTGGAGGTCTGTAACAGATGCCCACCAGGGTGCCTGTCTTGGCAGCCCTTCCTCTGATTTTTACCCATAGGGATTCAACGTTATCGTCCCCAGTCACAATCTCAGTAGCATAAAAGCATTCCCTAACGTAGAGAGCCACACCGCCACCCCACCTTCCTTGCCTATCCTTCCTGAAGAGTTTGTAGCCATCCATTGCAGTGCTCCAGTCGTGGGAGCAATCCCACCACGTTTCCATTATGGCAACTAGGTCATAGTTTGCCTGCTGCACAACTATCAATAAAGGATAATAGTCAGAGGAGTGGATCAGACTGGGTCTGATTTAGGCCCATCTCACTACCTTTCCCCCTTCCCCTTAATCTCAGGGCATGGGTCTATGGGTCTCCCCCATCCCATTTAGTCATGGAACTGGGCCAAACCAGCCCAGAACTGTATCAATTACCTTCCACATTTTTAAAATACAGGTACATTCTATATGGGAGCTATTCTCAGGTAAACCACTTTGTCAGATAAGTTTTAGCATTCAGAAGTTTCCACAAAATAAAGTTTTTTTTCAAAATAAGAACAAATAGAAGTACCTAACTTTGCATACAAGATCAGGGCCCAAGACTATAAACAACCGTCAATTAATGGTCAGAAGAAATAACTGTAAAATGCTCAATAGATTTTGATTGCTGGACATACCTGCATCAGCATTTTTGTTCATATCAAGAAGTGCTCTTGAAGGACTTACCATGGATTCATAACATAGAAGAGTTTCGGAGAAGAAAATTTTATTTGGACTGAACTACTAATGGAAACTAATGAGATTACAGTCCACGAGACTAGACTAGAACTTGTGCAAACTTGTGCTGGATTCTCAGTAATGACTATTTCCCTTACTGATCTGCTACTATTGTATGGTAATATTTGTTAATGTAGACTTGCCCACAGTCTGTGGTATGTTTGCTTTCTGTTACAGAAGGGTAATATTACTGAACATTACAAGAAAATAATACTTAAAAATATATATTTATCATCAAAAGCTCTTACCTGTGTTTGTTCTGGAGTTTCTCCTGCAAAGTAGAAGATGTAATGATCTTCACTGAAGTGCTGAACTACTATCTGAAAACAGTTTGGCCTTTAAAAAAAAAAACCATAAGATTTATTAATCTTGTAGTATTGACAAACACCTCCATTTCTTGATCTCTGCCGAAACCAAGTTCACACTGAACTAATACATTTATGCTGTTTCACTGTAAGGAACACTGAACATAGCATAGTTTCAAACCCCCCAATTTAGTTCTATAATATCTATCAACAAAAGATTTTTTGGAATTGACAAAATCCTTGATCTTATCAATTTTTTGTTCAGTAGGATAAAAACCTTCAATAGAGTTGCCTCAAACTTTTTTAAGGCCTGTGATATGAAATGTGGATCAATTAATACACAGTGTTGAGAAATGACAATGCAAGAACCCAAATCATTATTGCATCATATTACACACAGGAAAATCTTAAGACTAAATTCTATAATTTCTTACTAGAATTTATGAACTGTTGCTAGCAATCAAGTTGCCATGGCTTAACAAGTTACCATTAATCAGTTAAATCTGTCTACATATGCTCTTGCAATCTATGCCAACTATGGAATAAAACAATATGAACCAAGAGTTACATGCTTGCTTTTCACAGTGAGCAAAAGCTTAAAAAAAAAGAAATAAAAAGCAACAACAAAAACACAACCAACCAAAAATACATTAGCAGGTCAACTTGTTCATTAGTGACATATTTTCTGTGTATCGTACATCTGAAACTAGCAGTTAACTGCCCTGCTGCATGTACAATAATTAAAAGTCATTGTCCTACCTGCCAAATAAACTGTCATGTACTCCATAGACTGAACACACACTAAGATCTATTAATCCTTTAGGTTTTGTGGCTCGTTTTTCACTTTCAAAATAAATAAGCTGAGAATCATTTCCCTCCAATATAAAATACAAGTTCTTCCATCTCTTTCCTTTGCCTGTAGAAAAGGGAACAGGAAGTTACAATATAATTTAAAAGAAAGTGTACATTTTGTAAACAAAGAAAAATGAGGGCAGAAAGGTTTTTGCCAAAATACAAACAGAACAATGTATAGTTAATCATGATTAAGCAATAGTATCAGTAAACACATTCAATTTTTTTGCAACATCTAGCTAAAAACCAAACCCTCTTCACATATTCGGGTATATTTATAAATCATTCTCTAAATATTTTCACTGAACTCAACAGGATTAATCAAGTGTACATAAGCTACCGAGACTACTCTATTCATATCAATGAGAAGATTGTCTATACAGTTTGTAAATAACATGTGATGCTGTAAGTGATCCAATTTATTACAGCTATTTTAAATTAAGAAATAGATTTCTCTTGACATAAGAAAATTATTCTTAAACTCTTACCAACTGATCAGCATAACTGATTGTATCACAATATTGTCAAACCATATGATAAATAATAGAAATGGGAATATAATATACACAAACTTGGATCAGAACCATGCCCCAAACACACCTATATCTAAGGATTTGGCCAGTTCCACGTTTCTGAGAAAAACAAACAAAAAAAATAACCCAGAGTATCTTCAGAGTATCTTTTAGAAAAACATTCATCATTAATTTTCAACTTGATCATTATAGAACCCCCACAGTCTTCCATAAACAAGCACTTGTACTTACTGTTTTGGAAAACCAACTTTAACATCTGGTTATTATACTCCACTAGAGGGAGGAGTGTTTTTATTCAATGTCTGTCCTGTATGCGGGTAGGTATGTCTCTGCACACCAACTCAGTACTCCTGCTTGCACATTTAAAGTATCTCAGTATCCCTTTCCACTAATTTTTTTAAAGTTTATTCTCAGCTGATTCTCAACTCTACCACATCACTCTATATCTTCTCACAGAAACTGCACTCTCAAGAGAAGAGGTGCTTTCCTTCCTTTATTAAGAGGATCAAGTTTTTATTTCCTTTGAATGCATCTTTTATATTTGACTACATTTAAATACTGGCCTTCTTTCTCACTTTTGTTTGCTATCCAAATCAGTATCTGAAACTTATTGTTTTAGTTTAGTATTGTACACCAGAATACACATTTTAATTTAAACATATTATCTGACTTGGAGTAACAAAAATTAAACCAGCTCTGGTCTCCAATGAGTGCAATGATATACATTAATACAGCTCTCTAACTCATGCTATCAGCTTATATTTAAACAATTCACGTATTTAGTATGAATAAATTTTATAAAAGTGCACTTCATTTAGTGAGTATGAATATTACCTTTGATAAAAGGGTAAAGTTTTTGTTCTGCTTTCTTTATTTTTTCAACAAGAACTGTCAATTGACATCCTTATACTGCATGTCAATTTATGTATGATGCCTTTCTATTAATGAATTTAAGGAAAAAAAACCTTTAAAGACATTCTATAACCTTATGCTCCCTTCAATTTTGCCTTCACTAGTACCAGTGCTACACAAAACATGCATTGAGATCTGCATATTATTTTTAGGAAAACATTTTATAGAAACAAACTCACTTTTTTTTAGAAGATAACCTTTTTTGACAATGTTTTTATAAAAAGCATCCTTTGTTTTCTGACGAATTGTGTTGTAGATTTCTTTTCCATCCACTGTATTATTAAGCACTTGTTCTTGATGCTGGTAAATAAGGAAGAAATCAACAGTTTATTTTTTAAAGCACATGAATCATTTAAGAAAAATGAAGCTGCAAACAAAAATCTTATTGAACGCTACTAATTCTTTATTATTGTTCTGTCATGTTTTAACAAACCAATATAATTTAATACAATATCTTTGCTGGAAATGTAACATGACTATTTATTGTGGAATGATTAGATCAGAATTATAAGAAAAATAAGGTTTAAATACAAATAAATGTTTACAAAGTAACATATGTATGTATTTAATATTAAATAGAAATCAGCATCTTCCACAGTGATTTCTATAAAATTTACATAAGTCTTTATAGGTTATCTAGCTTCTAGCTGTCTTCTATCAAAACTTTTGGGAATGAGTAATTAAGGATAAATTCTGAAGCAACAAGACTGGTGCAGATTAAAACTGAATGATTTATTCAAGATGTTTTGCAGTCCCTCACTAATCTTATTTACATTCATGTCCTAAATGTATAGCATTTTAACAGAAAACAACAGGAGAAAGCAGAAACATAGGACAGTTAGAATAATCAAAAGCAAAGTCAAGTTTGACCTTACCAAATCATCTGATCAGCAAAAGATCTTTACCCATAAGAAGACATGAGAAGTAAGACTGTCAAGCAGTGAGAACAATACTGAGATGAAGTGATATATGCTCTAGCTTCATACTAAATACTTTTCTCCTCCACCTCCCTCCATCTCTAAGAATTATAGTTTTGAACAAGATAAATGCAAGATGAAAAAGCACTTCAGTAATAGGAATTACATGAATCAAAATAAAAACAATATGTAAACTTTTATGAACTCAATATAACCTCCATAATATAACTATGCACAGAACAACAGATTTAACGACAAATGTTTTAAATAAAATTTCAAGTTAGACACAGGAAGTCTATTAGATTGAACTGAATAGCATGTAAGACTTCTGAATTTTTTTTCTCTCCAAAAACAGATGACAGTATTCTTTAGAGAATACAACCAAATGTACTTACACCACCATTTCCTCACATTTGTCTCAATCACATTACAGAGCATGAGTTAACAGTAGCCAACTGGGAAGCATTGATGACAAGACAGTCAGCAATACATAATAAGGCATATGTATAGTAATACAACATAAAAGTTGTACTTCTTGATATTTATCAGTATAAAACAATATAACATGGCTACAATATCAGAGATAATATTTTAGGATATGTCTGATAAGAATTCCCACAAAAAAAGGCATTATTAATGACACGGCATTCTGAGCTGTTCTAGTCCATCTCGTTCAGGAAACATGAACTCGCACTAGAATTTGTGTTAGTAGGGCAACTACAGGAATGTTATGAAGATATGTATGCTCAGTTTAGTCAGCATAGGCAGAATACAAGAAATGTCCTTGTATTAATGTAATAGATGCAACAAGTGTTCCAGAACATGCCCTGTAATCCCTGCTCTTCTTCAAATAGAAGTTTCTCTGAGGGAAGAAAGATGCAAGACACAGAAGAATGGAGGGCAGCCAATTGTCCCTGTCCCCAACACTCACAGTATGGCTCAATCAGAGACCACAGCTAGGGTCACAAGGCAGAGCACTTAGACCTCAGAGCACAGACAAAGGTTACCATTATTTTCTGTTGACTATAAACCAACCTTAGATGAGTGAATACATGCAAGGATAAAATGAAATAAGCTCAAAAATTCAGGAGGTGACAATGCTGTTTAACTGTCATCAATACCTCTGCTGTAATTAATTTCTTATACTATAAATAGTTTCTGATGATTAAGTCAATGTCTTCAACAACAAATGCTCAGAGATGAAATTTTACCTGCATTGGAACAGGATCTTTAAGGTAATAACCTTCAACAATCTGTTCTTTCTTATAATGTTCAATGATCTCAGCAATACTGTTCAAATAAGAAAAATAAGATCTATAAGTTAAACTGGTTAGTTTTTCCTCTGCATGATAATTTGCTTTTCCATACAGTTGGTGTTTCATCACAAATTTATAATAAAAATCAAGTATAAAACATCATAATCTTGTTTGCATCAATGACAATTTCCTAATATAATGAAATAAAGAAAACTCACAGAATTGTATTTATTAATTTTAAACTCTACAGAACATTTTCAATCAGTTGTTGAAAATGCCAGTCATGTAGATTACCTTTTCCACATTTGAGTAACACATGCACATGCACTCTTCAACCAGGCTGAAAATAGCTACTTTATTGGCAATAATTTCCAAAGTCCTAGAGTAAACTAGGGAAGGGAAATGGGAGATACTTCAAAATGAGCAGGAGTGGGGAAATAGAAAAGCTTTTTTCAAACACAGATAATAAAAATCACTGGTAAAATAGCTATTCAGTTACCAGCACTCCTCCAGGAAAGCTTGCATTCTAATTACCAGAATCAGACTGAAATTGAATTTTGAAAGATCAGGAGAGAAATAGTGACAGTTGAAAGCTAAAATTCAATGCATCTTTGAGTTGTTCTGCCTTATTTTTGCAGTTACTGAAAATTACACTGTAATAAAGAAGGGGAATGTTATTGTCAATATGGATGAATCATTCATACATAAAATATAAACCTGAAAATAAAGAAATATATAATTAAGAGTGGAACAAATCTATACTGAATGCATTTTCTCACTTATATACGTACAGGTTGCTCTGAAAGTAATGCCTCCTATTTATTACCATCTGAATTACAACAGATACAAAGAGCATTACACTGTGATAGAGCGAATTTTCAGTGACAAAAAGCTATTTTTCAACATAGTCACCACCATTAGCTATGCATTTTCACCAGCTATGAACAAAAGCCTGCATGCTACGCTCACAAAAGTCTGCATGGCCATCCAGAACATGGTCACGTTGCTGTCACCACTGCTGAAACTCATCATCCACTGTTTGGTCTCCATAAACATTCGGCAAGAATCAATGAATGTCAACAACTGCAGTTTGTTCTGCATGGAGGAATTCATCAATACAGCTTTTGCTTCATACGCTCTTCCATGTCAGATTGTCTCTCTGCTGCCATCTGTCACACGGCAACAAAATATAACAGAATATTGGTGGGAAGGTTCAACCTCTACTGCCATACCACCAACGTCTGCTTCTAATGTTGTGGGCCAAGATAATAAAATAGGAGGCATTATTTTGGAGCAGTCCTTCTATATATGCTGTTATTTATGTTTGTGCATGTAATCATTAAGGCACATATGATGAGATCTTTGGCTTATTAAAATCAGATAAAGTGTATAAAGGAAAGATATGTGATACTATAAAAGGATAATGAAAACATTTAAATTAAACAATAGAAACTTTTATTTTTCTGACTAGTGCATGCTCAATAAATCAATGTATCTTCCCACAAATTTTTATTTTTCATGTTTGTAAAGTGACTTGAATTTCTCTTTTAGTATTATTAAATTCAAATAAAATTATTTCAAATTTTACTTATATGTAATATGCACATGCCATTTTCTGCATTAAAAATTAGACTTTACAGCATTGCATAAAATAACATTTATTGAATTTCGCATTTTGAACATCTACTGCAAACATTTTGTTACAAGGGCAATTTTTTTCCCTCTTAATCAAATTGGAAGTACCTTGACTGTCAATGTTTCTTTCCATGGTTAAAAATACCAGGAGTCATTCCTCAACATAAGAAACAATTGCCTAATTTCTTTGAGTTTTGTTAAATAAGCTGAATAAGAAACTGAATTGTATTTGAAAATTCCTTTTGGAAACAGAGTATCATATAGACTAGAATATTATATCTTGATGGAGTGCTTAAGAGTTTAGTTCTTTAACTCTCTCCTCCCCCACACAACTCAGATGGCCATTGTATATTTCCTTACTACTCTAGCAGCCTAAAAACCAGATATCTTCAGACATACAGAATAAAATATTAGAGTTCCAAGAGATCTTACAAAGATCATATAATCAAACTGCATGACCACTTCAGGGCTAACCAAAAGTTAAATTCTATTAATGAGGGCATTGTCCAAACACTGACAGGCATAGGGCTTCAACCACCTCTCTAGGATGCCTGTTCCAGTGTTTGACCATCCTCACAATAAAGTTTTTCTAATCTCCTGTCTGAACCTCTCCTGGAGGAGAGAGCTTTCTGCCTTTCCCTTGTGTCCTGTCTTTGGTTCCCAGGGAGAAGAGAGCAGCACCTCCCTCTCCACTTCTCCTCAGGAAGGCATAGAGAGCAATGGGATCACCTCTCAGCCTCCTTTTCTCCAAACTAGACAAATGAAATGGCCTCAGCCTCTCTTTACAAGAGATGCCTTCCAGCCCTTTTACCAACTTTATTGCCCTCCTCTGGATGCTTTTGAGGGTCTTAACATCCTTTTTATATTGTGGAGCCTAGAACTGCACACAATATTCAAGGTGAGGCTGCACCAATGCTAAATATAAAGGGAGAATCACCTCTTTTGACCAGCTGTGTTGCCAGGGAACACTGATGACTCACGTTGAGCCTACTGTCAACCAGAACCCTCAGATCCCTTTCTGCTGAGCTGCTCTCTAGTCAGTTGTCTCCCAGTCTGAACAGCATTGCTCCATCCCAAGTGTAGAATCTGACAGAGTCAAGAGCTAGTTTCTAGTCAGGGACCTCCCCAAATTCCCTGGACCATGAGTAAATTGTTGAGAGGGATCCAGCTATAACATGTTAACTCCTTCAGTGCTCTGGGGTGAATCCTATCAGACCCCACAGACCTATGAATGTTCAGTTGATAAAACTGATCCCTTACAATTTTGATGACCACAGATTTTAAGTCACTGCTTCCTCAATCATGGTCCTCCAACTCAGAGGACCAGGCAGCCCAAGATCCATCATTAATATTAAAAACTGAGGCAAAAAAGGCAGTAATGTCTCTACCTTTTCCTCATCCTTACTTATTCAGCAACCATCCTCTTGCTGTTGACATACTTGGAAAAACCTTTTTTGTTGTCTGACACAATAGTAATCAGGTATCAACTCAAGCCAAGACTGGCTTTTCTCCATGCAGATGCAAACTGCAGCTCTGTACTCTTCATGTGAAGTTAGATCTTGCTTCTAGAGGTCATATATTTTCAATACGCTTTTAACAAAGCTCTGGTTAGTTTTCTCTTAACTTCCTTCATCACAAAGTGATAGCTGTATTTCTTATTTTTGATCATTTAATGTATTAAATTCTACTATTGTTGAATATCGGATAAATGAATTCTGAGACTGAAAACACACTATATAATGTGAAGTTGGGGGTCAAGTTATCTAACGTAAAAAGTAAAGCATAACATTAGGTTGACCACTAAGAGGAATCTAAGGAACAGGAAAGAAGGGATCATAACTCTTTTCAGTCTGACCAGCAACAATCCTACTTATACCTTTCTTGATGTATTTTATTTAAGTGTGAATTTAGAAAAAATTTATTTGATACACAGAAATAAAGATTAACAAATTTAGTCTTAATACTATATCACAGTTACTTCAGTAATTCGAAACTGTTTACCATAGGGCTTATTAGGTTGCCCAGGTCCTTGCTACTTGTATAATTAAAAAGTATCTCATCATCATGAGTAGTAACATTATTTTAATAATTAATGGATGAATTAAGAGTTATTGCAACTGCTGACATTTCAAATAGTGAAAAAACAAAGCAGAATAGTACTAGGTACTTTGTTAAATGATTAAAATAAATAACGTTAGGATCACATTGTACAGCCTATCAAAATATGGATTAATCCATCAGTTAAAATGAAAATGGTTTCCAACAGCTCCAATCTTCTAGTCTACAATTGTCTCATCTCTCAAAGTTAACTTAAAAGATTGCTCAATGTTCAGTTGCTGGGCCAATGTTCTCCTTGATTCTACTTTGGCATAGAATCACAACATATATCACCCTCCTTCCCCCTCATAGAATCATAGAATTACCAGGTTGGAAACGACCTGCAAGATCATCTAGTCCAACCGTCCACCCATTACCATTGCTACCACAAGCACAAACCATATCTTGTAGTTCCTCATCCAGACTTCTCTTGAACACTGCTAGGGATGCTGACTCCACCACCTCCCTGGGCAGCCATTGCAGTGCCTGACTATTGTTTGAGTGAAAACGTTTTGCCTTATGTCTACTCTAAAACTCCTCTGGGACAACTTGCAGCCATTTCCTCGGGTCCTGTTTGCTGCCTGGGAGAAGAGACCAAACCCCTCCTCATCATAACCTCCCTTTTCATGGTTTTTTGGTTTTTTTTTTTGGTTTTCAGTATTCCACATCAAAACATCATGTAATGGACTGGGCATTAAAGTGTCACTGCCCCAATTCCAGGTACCTATCCCTATACATTACAGAAGTCACAGGATCTGGCCCTTCTGGGTGGGGGGGGCGCTCTCTTGCTGCCTTGCAGTGGGTGCTGGAGGGTGCTTTCCTAGCCGTTCCAAGCTTTTCAGGTTTGACTCGGTCCCGGGAACTCTCTCTCTCTCTCATCTTGTCTGATTTATTAATCTCAATTTCAATTAAATTGTATATATTGTGTTATCTTGTATTCCGGTATCATAGTAAAATAAGTTTTCCTCCATAGATTGTTGCCACTGTTCTTTTCCTCCCTTCCTTCCTTCCCATCTTTGTGGGACTGGGGGGGAAGGGGGAAGGGCAGAGGCCTGTTGCCTCCTGTCACGGACATAGATTGATCTAATCAACTCCGTGACAGATTTTGGAGTGTTGCCTGGGAAATAGCTGCTTTTTAGCTTTTACAACGAATCTCTTTTTCTCTCTGCTCTTAGAGAGCTCTGTTAGGGAGCATTATCAGTAGTTCAGGTTTCTGTGCTGGAAAACCTTACCTTGAAAGACAAGGCGTACTGCCAGTGTTCTGGGATATTTGTAAACTTTGAGCACTACTTAGTCTGAGTA